TCGTCCGTCCTCTCTCTCTCTCTCTCTCTCTCTCTCTCTCTCTCTCCTCTTTGCTTACTGCGGTGTTTTGCTTCTTTGCTCTTTTTGTTTCCCCCTCCCCCCTTCCCCCTTTTCCCGGCGACGATACCACACTTTCTACGATACCCGACTCTGGCTGGGAGTTGGGCTCGCATCCTTCGATATCACGCGTGGATAGCGGGGGCCAGGTTGCGCTCCATGGCTACGGGCTTCCGCTTCTCGCGGTTGATCATTCACGGGTGCGTGGACGAGGGGTGGTGGTTCCCGGAGGGGTGCGAGAAATCGCGGGCTTGGCGGAGGGAAGCACACGGATACGGTACTCGGAACTTCTTTATAATGCTAGGGTAGATAGATGCTTGTAATAGTAGGTATGCACGTCGCGGGTCTACGAGGAGAGAGCTGGAGATTAATGCCCCCGACGACGCACCCCTGCGCCTCTGCTCTCTCCTCTCTGGTTGCGGCCCACGCGTTCCCCTGGTCACGCATGCACTGGTCATGGTGGTCTCAGCCCCGGGTCACGGATCTGGTGCTCTTACGATGGATGGCTGGGAATGCAATGCATTTCATCACTGGGGTATCTCTCCGTCTCGATCTCTCCTGCAAGCTAGCTCGTGTTGTCCCGGTCCCGTCTCTCTGTGCACCACTCGCCCATCGACCGATTCGATGGTCACCCCCCGCCAGTCCCGCGAATGCACGCCTCCTGCCTGACAGGATGTAAGTATATCCATCGCATCACCACGTCACGTATCGATCGCATCGTCAGGCAACGAACGTATCGTAGCGTATCGTAGCGTAGCGTAGCGTAGCGTATCATATCATACCGTAACGCAAAGCTCTCTTCTCCTCTCTCCTCTCTCCTCTCTCTCCTCCCCTCTCATCCCCATCCCATGCCCATCCCATACCGCCGCTGCGCACCAAACCAGATACCGTCAGCGAGAGGACCGGAGAAGAAGTTTGCCAGCCAAAGCTAAGACGGCGCCTACGTCGAGACAAGAAAAAAAAAAAAAAGAAAAAGAAAAAGAAACGTACGTACCCCATGGGCGGATGGGAAGGGGGAGGGGGAGGGGGCCTCAGCGGAAGCAGTTCAGGCCGCAGCAGCGGAAGCGGAAGATGGGCCGGCGCAGGCCGTGGCGGTCGGCGGTGATGGTGGCGCCGGCGCGGCGACCGCCGATGCCTTTGCTGTAGAAGAAACCCATGGTGAGTGGCGGGGTGGGGTGGTTGTGGTTGAGGTTGAGGTTGAGGTTGAGGTTGAGGTTGAGGTTGAGGTTGAGGGGTGTTTGTGGTGGTGGTGGTGATGGTTGTTCGAGTGCGGTACCGGGGTAGGTTGTCGGTACGTCGAGGGTGGGTTGTACTTGTGCGGGTTGTGGATCTACTGTACGTGTTGAGGAGGGATGGGGGAGGGGAGAGGGGAGACGGGAGATGGGAGATGGCTTACCCTTTCTATACTTTTACTCCCCCCACCTTTGGGCTTCTACCAGTTCTGCATGTCTTATCAGTTGGCCCAGCACAGCCCCAGCCACCGCCTCAGCCACAGCCAGCCAGCTCGCTGCGTGCATGCACAGCCCCGATTCTGCTCTGCTCTACGTACTAGTTTATGCCTTCCGTCGGTACAGTACGTCCGTCCTCTCTGCTCCATCGTCGACTCACCGCATCGCCTGGGCCACCTTTCACCCTTCCCCCTTCCCTCGTCCCCTTCCCC